ATATTACATACCTTAGGTTTCACATTTCATAGAGTAATATTCCAATTAAAAAAGCTTTTATAAATAGATTAATGAAGATCTTTATTTTTTTTATTTAAAATTTATAATTATTTACATTGAAAAAAATTTCAAAAACATTGATTGAAAATTATTATCAAAATATAATTATTTTCTAGAATTAATCTTCTTTTAAGAAATTTATTTTTTTTCAGAAAAATCCAAATTCAAATTCTATTCTTTACGTGTTTAACTAATTTATTGCAAATTTTGTAGTATTTTGCAAATATTCCATAAAGAATTTTATATATCTAATGTATCACATACATTAGCATGAAAATGTGATACATGACCGTATGTGATAATCAAAGTCACCGTGATATGTATCATGACATACAGTCATGTATCTCAGTATAGTTATCATGTTGACCGTATGTAGTGACCATCAAAGTGATTATATATATTTACAATTAAAATTTGAGTTGACCAAGATCAAATTTGTTGGCTATTCAAGTAGGCAAAAAATTTGTCGAGTTGGTTGAGATGAAATCAAATAAATCTTTCATTGATTATTCAAGAAGTGTTATTACATTGCTAAATTTTTAGCAGTTTATAGGCAATAAGATAAACTCACAATGGTTAATTAATCATGATCAGATTTAGATATCAAAACTATACTTGTCAAAATATCAAAAATAAAATCTAATAATTATGGATGAGCATAATGTTTTTGACTTTTATCAAAGTTTAGATTATAATGAATACAAATATTGACTACATGTTAATTTTGATTAGTCTGATTAAGTAGTAGAATCTTAGTTGATTAAACTACACATATAGTTTGATTTGATGGCAAGTTGATATTATAAAGCTACAAAGTCTATGTCATGTCGTCATCTCAATTGAAAGATAAGTTTTTCCAAAAAATCTATGTAATTCAATGACATGTTGGTATGAAATTCTAATGAAAGTAAATAAAATAGTAATTTCCATATTATATCATGCTAATAATTCCAAAAATAGATGGAAAATATCATTCTTAACAAGTTTTGATCTAGACTTTTTTTGACTTAGCGGATGGAATTTTTTAAAACTTAAAGGTGGTGTCAACTTTCCACCTTTAGTATATCTAGTAGAATCCTAGTTCACATTGGTACTCACACTCTTAAACACTAGTTGTACTTGTGTCAAAATCTTGTGTATCAATACTATTTCTAATGTTACTTCAAGGTATTACTATATGAGACTTGTGTGAATTGCCATACATAACAATAATCACTTTCACTGCCATCATCGAGTACATTACATTATCCAAGTCTTGTGTGAGCTCCGTCGGCAACACTAAGCCAACATTCAAGGGTATAAATTCAAGAATTAAGTTTTTTACCTTATGTCACCCTCCTATGTTAGTGTTTCAACGGTTCTTTCATGTAAGTTTCATTTACATTGATACGATATGTATTGTTATAATATATGAAAGATGTAAATGTAATGAAAAATTGTAGTCATACTTTTGCAATTTGATGATTGAATGAATTGATCAAAAAGCTCCTTAGTTCAAGTTTTCACTCTTGTTGCCTACTAAATCAATCTTTATCTTTGAAGTACTTCAAGATTACAAAGCGTATTTCCACACATATGTAAAATATTGCTCAATTCTTGCATTATTGCGGACTTGACAAGAGTGCATAATTAAAATTGTGACTTTAAAACTGTGTAATATTTCATTTGATCTAATGTCATAAACATCACACAAGCTTTCAGTCTATCTACAACACATCTTGTGCGAGTGAAAAACAAACAGAAGTCCAAACTAGACAACAAGATGCTTCAATCAAATTAACAAAGTTCAATTTTGTCCTTCTGAATTGCTTTTTCACAATCAACACAACTAGTAAGAAAACAAGCAAATTGCTTTGAATTGCTATAAGACTTTGCAGATTTGCACCTTAATTCTTTGCTCCTCCGTGTCACTCATCATTCATTAGATAGTTCATCATTACTTTGTGTGTTTTAATTTTTATTTCAATACACTTTATCTCAGGTTTATCTTGGTGAAATTAAGTTAATTTGAGATAATTATAAGATAATTATCACATGTTCCTATGGCAATTTCTTAAAAAGTATAAATTGAGAGGTAGAGAAGAAATTCTCAAGCAAGTTTGGAGAGCTTACAGTGTGAGTATTTGTTTCACTATTATAAGTTTGAGTTTCAGAATTTTTTTGAGTATCAATGAGTGGTTGCAATTGAGTGATGAGTGAAAAGTTTGTATGAAAGTGTGTTTTGGACATTAACATGAGAAACAATCCTAGCATTCTAGAATCATGATGAACTATTGCAAAACCATCTGAGATAAATCTGAATGAAAGTCAACACGGAGGTTGTAGATCTTGTCCAGTTGAGATATCCACAAGTCAACTAAGATTGATAAAATGGTAGCGGGAGGTTTCACGAAGGAAGGGAATGGACGTGAGAAGTTAGGAAGCTTTTGATCTAAAATGACATCTCTCGTCTATGGAGATGGATCCTGATCGTTACGCAACTCCTATAAGGCTGTCGAGCCTTGGTTTAATTTTTTGCTGTTGTCGGAAGATTCATGAGTTTCAAGAATTCCCTTCTACGGGCGGTTGAATCCTAGCACAAGCTATGAATTTCTGCGCATTGGCAACCAAACTACGATGAGAGCGCCAATTATTGCAAGAGTTAGAATAATGAACAAGTTTAAAAATTGTGTAGTGGAGAGCTTATGACTTTTCTTTCACCTCGCACATGGCAGACAATGGAGAATTTCTTGAAAATTGAACAATCATGTGGAACAAGAAGTTGAAACCTAGCAATAATGCATGAATTTCCAAGTTGAGGATGGTGTGAGTCGATGTACATCACCTTTTGCTAGATTGCACTTCACTTGACATAGTCTGCTGCTTTTTTTGCCAGATCGGCAAGACGTAGCGAAGGTCGTGGGGAAAGACATCCAAGCAAACAAAGATAGTGCGGAAAGAGTGCCAAACCGGGGGACCGTCAACAGCAAGACAAATGACCGCGCGCAAGCGATCCATTTCTTCCCTCCTCCAGCAACAGCGGCTCCACAACCGAGCTTGCTAGTCAAAGTGAATGACAATTCCAAAAGCAAAAGAGCTAGCAAATGAACATGCAGGCCGTTTATAAACGAGTACTGGTATGAGTGTGACACCACCGTTGCTTCTCACACTAATCAATCTTCACATCATCGTCGACGAGTGACGCTTCGCAAGCACAAAATTATGCCCGACATACGCACACACACAAAAAAAATATGTCACGAGTACGACGACAGACTATATGCACAGACACAAACTCGGTAGATAAGCAAATTGTACAATCTAATACCAATTGTAGGTTAAACACAACAATAATCACACAACGATGTACATGATTTAACTTCACGTACACGGCCGAGATAGAAACTTCACTAAAGCAAGAATATTACATCAATCATCCATAACCAAGGTCTCGATTATCTCTCTCAGTCCGCTGTGAATGTGAAAACTGAACTGAAATGTGCTCACTAACTTAAATACACAAACAAACCCTAACTAAGTCAGACACTAACTAGAGGCCAAGTCTAACTACAATTAGACTAACTACAATCAACAAGACACGGGTTAATCTTACATCTTACCATTAACAAAGACATTGTAATTCATTTCAATTACTAGCATCTCCAAAGCAACACATTGGAAAATATAAACGGGAAGCCCTATCAAGCTATACGTGTCTATGCTTCTTTTTTCATAAATCTAAAATAATCTTGAACCTTGTTTATATAGAAGAGATATAGATAGTCATATGGTGAGAAGATACCATTGCTCTTATTAAATTGCTTCAAACTTTTCCAGGAGAGTCTTCAAGTGTATGCAAGGATGTCAATTTTGTGTCTCGAGGTGAATGATCATCATCAAACTCATACAACACTTTGCGCTAGTGTTTACTCAAGATTATATTCTTGGAGTCTCCCAAACCTGAGCTGAAACCAGATGTTACACCTTTTTACCTCAAAACCATTTTCCTATATATATATATATATATACACATACATACGTACTTGCCTCATATCTTGTTTTGAAACCTATGTCCGTAATTTCCACATGGCGTGGCCTTCCAATTGGGTTCTCATTCTTCACCCGACCTGATCTCGAGTCATCGCTATGATGTCTCCAACTATATCTATTTGTCTTCTCCGAGTCTCCTTATGCTGCATATGAATAACCCGAAAATATTACTTCGTGTTTAGTCGAGGGGTTTGACACCTTGAGGGATATGGTTGCATACATGGCCGCCCATGAAATTGTAGGGAATGTGACAATACCACCCAGAATGGAATTGACGTCCTTTTGTCCGACATGTGCCAATTATGCACGATGTGCATTTTTGCCATCGCCTTATGGCACCGTGGCAAGGACACATTGAATGCGCCCCACCCGGACAGTTTAGAGGTCGATGATCTGATTCACCTCTCGGAACTGCAAAGGAATCAATTATGAAGAGGGCATCCGACAAATGTGAGAGAACTCAATTAGTCTGAACAATTTCCAGAATCTTCTCCCACGAATGACTGGGGAGCATGACTCTGGCTGGGACCAGGCCATGACCACCAGCTCGTGAGAATCCTGTGTGAGCATTCTCGTTCCAGTCTTTTTATCGAAACAAAGTGCTTAAAATTAGTGAATGAAGGACATAATGAAACGACAGCGTCCATGAGAAACAAAGCAGAAATTGTTGCAGTTCCTCTCTGCATTCTGAATTATGGACCGGCCAGGTCGATACTGCGTACCTGAGAAGAATATTCTTCACATTCTCCTCCAAGCACGGACCGTCATGCCGACGGACAAATTCATAAGGATTTATCGATCATGGATTTGCCACCCCGGATTGGCATTTGAGAGAGGAGGCAGGCCTTGAGCTGTGAAACAATCGATCGGAACCATGTGACCATCGAGTAACTCATAAGCGGAACCTTCACATGGATTCGTTTAAGCAACACGGTTCGAGGCCGAAAGACGCCATAGATTTCATTAGTCATTTGCACCTGGGCTGTGGTGGTGCACCCAGAATACAGGACGACGTGGAGATAGACACAAGGAGTGGGCTTTCTAAAATTACCAGTAGTGTACCCAGAGATTCATGTCACGGATTACTCTCCCCACTCATCGTACTATTTTAGATTGCTGTCCTAAAAAATGTTCCCTGCAGCAGCAAGGGGTGGAATGGATCACGTCCCCTGCCAAGCTATTCTCGCAGAAGAGGACGGACCTTGAACCTTGAGATGCTCCTCCTTCACGGGAAGCCCTGGGACTGCCTTTTGTCCGTCCAAGCTCTCGGAGGCACCTCTTAAAAAACCAGTTCAATTATGAGTATCCAGCTAGTTTTCTTCCCCGTGGCGGAGGCCGCCGTTTCCAATTCATGTGGACGTTCTTCGCCATTCATTGATCATTCGTTTCTATCAAAGCCTATCGAACCTATCAAAACCTTCGCTCGCTACGGTGGTCACTTATCCCCGTTTACAAAACTCCTCCTCATCCTCGGGTTTGAAAGATGAAGGAGAGATCACAAGCAAACGATTCCTCGGCCAATCCTTGACCATTTCGAGGTCAAGAGACTGTGAGATACCACCGAGCTTTGCATGCAGCGACATAACGCAGACTTCTGTATTCCAGTCAGTCACTGAACGTTATTGCCATGAACAAGAACAAGTAACTCCTGGGCTACCATTTGTGCTCATTGCACAAACACTATATACAATAGCTAGAATCCTTTTTCACAAAATCTATAACTCCAGAATTATGGAGCAAACAGCCCCCTGGCTGATTTAGCATCCTTCTTCGCAAGCACTGTGGGTATGTGAAATTTTCACCTACGTAAGCCTGTTCGAGCTCGCTGACAGAGTGAAATGTCATCATGAAGATGCCAGGAAAGTTGACCTGTTAACTTCGATCATGACTGAGCTTCTGGAAGACATCCTGCTGATTTACAGCGAGCTAGCAATTCGATCAGCGGTGTTCAGGAGCCTTGAAAGCATGAACGAACATTCAGAAACTGGAAAGGTGTCGTGTGTTGCTGAGCCCTGAAGTATCCCCATGTTGGCCAGTTTGTGTCGAACAGAGAGGCGATCAGATGCGACTCTATAGCTGAGACTGAGTGACTGACTGCTTGAATTGGCAGAGGGGAAGGTTGCAAGGAAGGCTCAATTGCAGCCGAGTGCATCACCCAAGACCCAGGCCCCCGAGGTTGCCGATGACTCCAGCCAAGCCTCCCAAATTATTCTGTGCGGCAAGAAACGCAGCGATGTCCACATTTCCTCCACCGGCTGCCCCTCCAAGAATCGAGGAGTAATCTATTCCGCTTGCCCCTCCTCCTGCTGCTGCAGCATTAAGGAAAGCTGAATAGTCTGGAGTACTTCCGGCATTGTTCAGTAGAGAAAATCCAATAAAATAATATCCACATTTTGGTTAAAGTCACATCTTGAAAGTTTCGCTAAGTTCCACTCACGGAAGAATTTTTCATTCGTTCGTTTTTTACAGGCCATACAAGTTTTTGGAGCTTTTGACAAAGTTGTGGCAGATCATACCAATGAATCGTATAAAGGCGTAGATGCCTTGTGACATCAAACTTGAGATACAGCTTATAGAGACGTTCTATGTTCTGAAGAAGCACGACGCAAGATTGTAGTAAGTTGATGCCTGCTGGAAATGAGAGACCGTCTCGAAAAAAACTCTATGTCTGCCCCATATAGAAAAACTAGCAGATTCATGCTACGTTTGTTGAGTTTTATTTCTAAACCCATACTTGTTGCTCAGGAGATTCTGTTGCGACTCGTGGGGAGATCTTTATGTTTGAATCGATATGCACCAATGCACCGTTTGTGTGTATCGACATGCCACTAGCGTGTATCTCGTCATGTTTACAGGAACACACACCCAGCACCTGAGACACCCAAAGTATCGCTGCGTAAGCTGAAGAAACTGAAGGACATAATTTACTCTGGTAGCTTTTCCTACTCTGAGGCTGTTGGCATTTCGAGTAACAGATGAGTATGGCTGCTAAAAGACCGTCCTTGGCATATCCTTCGGGGATATAAGGTTCGATCTCTATCTGGAAACAAGTACACTAATTGGCTCAAGTGGCATGCAATTTAGACAAAGCTCTGTTTGATCTTTCCTTGATGCCTTCCAGATTATTCTATCGAGTCCTGTTTATGTAGTGCAGTGTATGATTGACCATCCGTCTGTTTTTCTTTCTGTCGTTGACAACGCAGAATGTTGTATTAGAACCATTTTTTATAAAAGCCATCCACGCCAACTATCTTGCGGGAAACGATGTCGACAATTGGTGCTGGCACATGCTCTTGGTGACTTTCTCTCGGATGCACGGTATTGTCAAAAAGTATCAATTACACGAGTGTGGTGTCACATTTGAGCAAGTCGACCGAGAGTTCCATTCGTAAGTTTTCTCGCTCAACTTGTATGTGAAGTTTCCAAACTATTTTATATAAGTTCTCATGATTGTACAGAGTCTTTCGAAGCAACTGCTGGGAGTTTCAGATGTACTGTAATGCAAACTGCGTCGTTCGTTCTTCTCTCATCCCGACCTGACTAGGAACATCTTGGAAATATTTAAAGTATATCAGGGATGATCATATGATACTCGAAGTCCTGCTGGCGACGGCTGTACATGTTTGGATGCCGGGATTTCGTTTTCTGCCTCTATGGAATACCAAAGGTCTCGTGACTATTTTTTTCATTCATGCGGGTCCTACAGAGTTTGTGTACTACTGGCTCCATCGATTTCTGCACACGGACTTTCTCTTCAATAACTATCATCACTTCCATCACCTGTCTGTGTACACAGAACCTGCCACTGGTACGTGGTAACTTAATGCACTCTCCGCCAGTTTGGCGATTTTGGCCAGTTCTAGTAGTATATCCGTAAGCTGTATTTTCATGCTTAGACCAGTGACAAGAATCTGAAGCCATGAACAGCCGCATATACTCCGTCGGAATCCTGAAAGTGCTTACCGTTTACTTTAGCAGTTTCTTACTTGTCTACTTAGGACAAGTCATGATCAGGTTACCTTAAAGTGGTCTCCACAGACTAGAATCGTTTGGCCTATGAATCCAGACTAGATGCTTCACATAAAAATTACTAGTCTATATTCCACACATGTACTGCCTTCGTCCTCAAGTCTCCGTCCCATATGTAGGATCGTATGTATATTCAAGTTTGAAATGTAGAAAATCAGGATCATGTCAGGAATCAATCAGGAACTTTGATAATAAGTAGGGAGCTCCAATCCAAGAGAGAGAGTAGGCTCTATCCGAGATCAAGAAAGTTAGAGAAGTACAATTGGAAAAACCCGTACAATTTACTGTATAAAGTCGAAGTTCGAGGTAGAATTAATCTGATTCTAAAGGTTTGTTACATTAGGACATCAGAAACTTGATGTAGGAGGACGGAGTAATTTTAGATAGCATACTTTAGACGAAATCAGAGGTTACTCACGTGTGACAGTAGACCGACTGATTGGTGTTCTTTTTTCGGCAGCCGGAGTAAGCACATTCTTGGAGCTTGTTCTCTATGCTGGTATCAAGGGTATAGCCCTGTTGGGCACCATCTTCACAGGAGGTGCAAGCATCAGTATGATCTACATTTACGGGATGACTTTCGATTTCCTGAAGAATATGGCACACTGCAACTGCGAAATTGTTCCAGCTTGGGCTTTCCGCACTCTTCCCTTTTTTGAATATACGATGATCACACCTTCGTACGTTTCTTACCCATTCCTGCCCTTCCTCCAAACGATGCTCATGATTTCAGGACCGTAAAAGAAAACCGTAAAGTGCTTTGGCCACGTCGGAACTTGGCTTGTGTCAACTTGTCAACCTTTAATCCCACTATGACGATGCGATATAGATGCACATTCTCCAGCTCCACGTAGCATGAGCAGATACACCAATTTGCTTACGTTTGGATTTATTGTTTGTCCTCGATATATTTGCCGTTCGACAGTTCCCTCACTCCGAACTTCTGCAATTGTAGCTAGAAACGACACTAGGTTCAAATATAGATTTCGTCACCCTGGTCACAATTGTGGAGTTGTTCTTGAAGCAGCCAAGTGTCGAAAATTCACACGTCCTGAATTCATGATCCGTGACCAAACAAATTGGATGTACGGTGAGTGGGGTATAACCCATCAAAATGAACTCTAAGAATAGACATTTGGTATTATCAGAATGCACATTGCGAAGAGTGTTTGCAGTTAGACCATCTAGAACTCGATCAATCAATCCTCAAGGTTGGTGGTGATTACATTGAACGCCGCTGTAGGTACCATTCTCTACATCATACCGAGCCAACAACCAACTTTTGTCTCTTCATCCCTTCATACGACCACTTGAGCCGCACGGTGAACGAGAACAGCGACGAGCTTTACGATCGCATGACTGCAGGTTCTGCGTAAGCCTTTTGTCCTGATATCCTTACATGCTGTTTATAAGCAGAAAGCATATACAGATCGAGGTATTTTGAAACTACTTTCTCCAAGTGGACACATGTTTGCTTTTATCATGCTGACATGTCGCAACACAATTCTGTCTTCATGCGTGCCCAGGCCGACATGAGACTGCACCGGATTTTGTATTTTTGCCGCACTGCGTGGACATGTTGTCAGCGCTGCAAGTCACGTTCGTTTTACGCCACACTGGTGCACATCCATACTCCTCCCAGTGGTACCTGTGGTTCCTGGTGCCCATCCCCGATTTTGTCATGTATTTGTATGAAAAATTGGGGAAAGGTATTCGTCGCTTACAAGTACTATTTGAATGACATCGTCGGCCAAACATGGGTCATACCGAGATTCGGATTCCAGGTGTGTTCGTCTTCACCACCACGTCTTCACTTCAGAAAATGAAAGTCTGAAACCATGTAATAGCAGAGCCGAAACCGGTACTTCTGCCCTCTCAGTAGAAAGAAGTTGCAATCGGAATTAAGAGATGACTTCTTTGTGCTTGTGCAGTACTTCATACCTCAAGGAATGAAAAACATTAACGCATTAATCGAGTCCGCCATTCTGGAAGCTGACAGGACGGGCGTGAAAGTCATCAGCTTAGGAGCTTCGAACAAGGTCTGCCAACCTCAACTTTCCTCTCTTCTCATGTCAAAGTCAGTTTACTCAGTTACTGCTCGTATTCAGCAGAGCGATATCCAGACAACGTGGTGCAAAGAGAGATCAATCTCAAAACTACAAGATGTTTTACACTGACTC